TTCTTTGGACCACACAAGGGTTGTCCAGCATCATCTTCTACCTTGTCACGGTGGCTTGTCTCCACTATTACTCTTGCCTACCAACTCGCAAGTAAAGAGGTGCCTGAAGGTCTTAAGGGACATTCCACAAGGTCCATGGCGGCGTCTACTGCCTTACTACGTGGTGTGGACATTCCAGACATCTACAAGGCAGCTACATGGTCCAGAGTGTCCACATTTGTCACCCACTACAGGTTGGACCTTCAGGCAAAGAAGGAGACGAGTTTTGGAAGGGCTGTCTTGACATTTGTCCTGCAGTAACGGCCCTCCTTCCGGTAAGTTAGCTTGTCAGTCACACAAATGTGTGATTCACAGAGACCACACTGAAGAAAGAAAGGTTACTTACCTGTGACCATGGTTTTTCAAGTGGATCTCTGTGAATTCACACATTCCCACCCGGCCTCCCCATTATCCGTCACTGCTTCTTTTATAATGAGCTCTTGCTTTAGCAATGGCAGATAAATGGAACTGGAGGCGGGGAGGGAATGGAGCATGCATGCTAGGGGCAACCTAAACTTTGTATCTTTTTCATAAAAGCTCTAGAAGGTTCTGAAATTCCAGCGCAGGCGCTGATTTAACCCAAATGTGTGAATTCACAGGGACCCACTTGAAGAACCATGGTTACAGGTAAGTAACCTTTCTTTACTTGCTGAGAGCAGGAAGCTGGTAATTTGGCCAAATCCTGCTAGGCAGAAATATGTGAGATCAGACTCACATATCCTCTACACATTCGGGATGATCATCATTGGTGCTACTCTTGCCTGTTTTGGCAAATCTTCAGATGAGCCCCCTTCAGTAAGTGGAAATTAACTGGTTTGTAGGCAGATTTAGTTTATTTGAGTCCACACTGGGATCAAGTAATGTAAAAGAAGAAAAGGAATAGAACTGCTCCCTGTTCCCAAGAAGATCAGTGACCATTGAGAACCAAGCCTGTTTTTATATATGTATCCCCTTTCTGGGTTTTGTTTCTTAAAGCTAAAGTGGAATGACATTTTGAGGGGCAGCTTTGATTGTAATAAGATACATACTAGATTGTTTAAGTGTATTTATATTGTAAGATTATATGTTTATAATGGCATGGGCTTAAAATAAATGGTCAAAATGTCTTGCTTTTGCCCTCTTGTCTTTAAGGGAAAAAAGTTACAGTGCTTTTGCCATTTCAGAGCATGCTATGCATTCTATAAAACAAATTGCCTGCCTGATTGTTAACGTGGTCTGTGTTTTTATTAACTTTTATTATCAATAGTACTGAATTTCCAAACACACATTAATCATGATTGGAGCAGATATCTTAAATGGTTGTGATGTGAGGAAACACAGTTCCCTGTGCAAACACTTCCTCTTTATGGTTTCAGTAATTAAGCCCTTTAAGTAATGGGAGGAGGAATGTGCACTGTGAGAGTACCCTGATGCAAATGCATTTATTCTTAATGCTGGGGCTTCCAGTCTCTCTGTCCCAGAGGCTTAATAAATCTTGGCCCAAGTTCTGTCACTTCATGTACCCATTTAACAATCTCCTGACTAAAGACTGCTCTATGCACACAAATAAACTTCCTGGTCTGTGTTGTGCACTTCTGGGACTATTTGGGCTATACGTCAAAGTGAAGTTATGATTTTATATTTTGCTTTTAGGCAAGAAGTCTCACCTTAGAAAGACAACGGAGAAAAAACTCCCCACAAAAGAAACCATTGCAAAATTGCAGCAGTCTGAAATATGGAAAATGGAGAATGAGTTCTATGAATTTGCACTGGAGCAATTTCAGTTTGTCAGAGCACATGCAGTACGGGAAAAAGATGGAGAATTATATATTCTGGCACAAAACTTTTTCTATGAAAAGATCTATCCTAAATCGAACTAAGAAAAATGCATCTTTTCAGTTTAAGGGACCTTGTGGCCACATCCTTAGCCTCAGCCCTAGATTGGTGATAAACCAGTTGAGGCACGTCAGTCTTGAGTTTAATAGAATGTACTGCAAGTTGCTCTAAGAAGATGGCTACTGTCTAGATATGTTGGTAATCCAAAAGTATAAGCTTCAGTTTGTTTTAATATTCACAAAAGAAGTTACTGTTCTACACCTGAAGAAGCCTACACATAATTACAGAACCTTGCCACATACCAATTATAGCTTAAACTGTAAAGATGAGAAGCCTCCCCTCATAATCTTTTTGATTCACAAGACAGCTTATTTACATATCTTTCTAGGAAGAGAAAATTGTTGGTTCTCTAGCCTCAAAGTGGAGATTTGAGTTGTTGAATAATGTTATTAACTGGCTGACATTTGTGCTGTTTTGTGAGTTCATATTACATGACATTCATTGGAATGTTCAATCATCTTCTGCTAAGAAATACTGCAGGTGGACTTCCCCATATTTGTAAATGTGGGTTTTCATTTTCAGAATCTAGAACTGAGCATCTGTGTTTAAAAATTCAAATCCCATAGTGATGATAGTAAAAAGGTCAGAAATTGAGGCAGTGTTTCTTTAATATCTTCTGAACTTCCAATGGATGTTGGGAAAACTCTACGAAGAAGCTGGGTTTTGCCTGCATTCAATATGAAAGAAATCATGAATTCTGTATCATTGATAGTTGATTCTTTGTATTTTAAAGAACCACTGATGAATCCATATTATGACTCAACCAGTGAGCTGTGGTATGGGTTAGGGGTTTCCTACTTCGATACTTTTACCTGTAGAATATTTTTACTAAGGTGCTTTATAATGTGTTTTAAAGCATTGCATTTGCAAAAGGAGTAAAATGCTGTAAATAATGCACATTTTATGTATTTGGACCAAAAGGTAACTAGTTTAAAGTGTTTTTGCACCAGTTTTGTTGTATGTGAAGTAAAATCATCCCATCTGCTGTCAAAAATACCTTTTTGAGTTAACTTTTGGACATGGCTGAAATGCCCTTCAGTGACCTCAACAACTTTAAATGCACAGTGTGTCTGTCCAGGAGCGTCCTTTTCAGAAAACTACTTAATCTGCATCCTTTTATCATGCTTTAAAGGAAAAGGAAAACGGAAGCCTATGGCCTGCCCAAGAAAGATACAAAGAAATTGACGTCAGTGTGTTCATGGAACTGCCTCATGTTACTTCAGCAAACTTGCATTTGCCATGATTAGCACCATACCATAATTCTCTATATAAGGTTCTTTAGCAGTCAATTAAATAATGAGGTACTACATTTTCTAAAGCAAAATTCTAGAAACCTTGCAGTTCTGAACATTCCCTATATTCAGAAATCTCCGTTTTAAAAGAAAAGAAATATAATTGAAGGTTTTAAAAAGTTCAGTTTCAACTTTACATTCTTCAGGGTATTAGAAGTGCAGTGTAGATGTGTCAATAAGGAAACTTTACCAGAATTGTTCATCTGCTGTACAAAGAGGTTTTCTGTCTATAAATTGAATGTTTTGATGCCAAAAACATATTATAAAAGTATAATGAGACTGTTAAGTAAAGCTTTTAATTTGCTGTCTTTATTTTGACTTCCTCTGAAAATTTTTAAAGCTGCATTTTGTTTCTAAGCAGCTTTTTTCAGTTAGCAGCCACTGCTTCTATTATTTCTTTTTTCCCTATATTACCAATATATAGTGCTAGAGTGTTTTGTAGTCACATTGGTACAAATGAACGAGGCACAGGAAAATGAAATAAACATTTATTGGACTAACCAGTTATTTAATGTTTAGCAAACTTGTGAACCATTGTGTTCATCCTCAGGTGTTGATGCTCAGAGCACAACTAAAATTTTGATTGAATTGATGATATGGCTACATAGTGAGCCTATTCTTATATGTTGAGATCATTCAGGTTGTGCCTCAAAAAAGAGAGGCATTATAACATGGAATGTGCTAGTGCCATCATATCAACTCATGTACGGTTGTACAAATGCTTTCTAAAACAGTTGTCAGGATCCTCTTGAGTTAGAGCCATGGCGCAGACTTCATGAAGAAGGTTGGATACCATTTCTGGCAAATCTCAACTGTGTTGACTTGTTCTCAAAGTGGGGTTTGTGTATTAATAAGTTAGATACTTTCCCTATAGAAATAGCTTTACCAGTTCTCCCCCGCCCCCGCCCCCCAAAATATTCAGGCTGCAGTCATGTACACTGTTAGCAGAAATTAAGCCCTACTGAACACAGAGGGACTTATGCCTCTGTAAATGTCCAGAACACTGCAGTGTCAGTGCAGTAAGCAGAGTACATGGTAAGTGGATAACATGTAGAAAGACACATTTCATGCTTATCTTAAGTATGTACTATAACAGCTGTATATTTTAGCCTTGTTTTTGTGAAGTCATGAATTGGGTGATGCTAAACTTCATGAGACAAAATCACCAGGTGCTATCCTTGTTGGGAAGATAATGTTCCTTCTGGTGTTTCGACTCTTATTGGTTGTAGAACTGTGGGAGGAGGTAGCTGAGCTACTAAAAACACAGAAAGAAATTAAAACAGCACATCTTGTGGCACCTTAGAAACTAGCCAATTTATGGTGGTGAAAATTTTCATGGATCACAGGCAAGGTTCCCTCTAAACTGGGTGTGCATGCACACACACACACACCTCTGCCTCCCTCTGTGAAGCTGTATTCCACCTCTGCACAGCGATCACAGGTTCTGGTCGTGACAGAACCCAGCATGCAGGGGGGCGGAGCTATGCGCGGGCAGGAGCAAAGTCAAGAGAGGCAGAGCCTGCCCAGAGGAGCTGAAAGTTAGAGGGTACGTTGATCATAGGCCATTCCATCCATGACACATAGATTAATGCTTTAGCTAGAAATTAAGCAGAATTTAGAAGTGTTTATAACTGTATTCATAATGAAAAGAGGGTAATCTTTTGAGGGAGACCATACCATTACTTCATTTAGTTGTTAAATATACTTTATTCTCTGAAGGTTTTTTTCATTAATCATGTGTAAACTGTTTCCAAAGAGAGCACTAAATAAAGGTGTTAATGTTTAGTAAAGTGAAATATAGGCATTTAAACACATTTGGAAGTTTTCAAAAGTAATTGGAAATGTGACTTGTATAATCTGCTGATCTTAACTGGATTTCAAGATTTAAGAATGAATGTTGTAACCAAAGCTATGTTGTGTTCTATTTATACAAGATTCTGCTTCACACACGTGAAAATTGGCCATATTTAGGAGTCACAACAAGCTTTAAGAGAGCTCTGGCTTGTTATGGATGATCCAGAATGCTACTCGTAGTACATGCTGGTTAATCATTCTGACCAGTAGTGGGAGGACCTAAACAGGCTGTCTTTCTTTGCCCCTTAATTTAATCAAAATGTACAAACTTGGCAGGGAATTAGCTCTCTAGTTTTGTCTCTTGCAGCAAGGCACAGAATTAATCCAGGATTTGCTTTGTGGTTAACCCAGCAGATTGTCAGGTGGGAAAGAAAACCAGCTCTCTCCTGGTTTTGCCTATCTTTGGAGACTGCCAGTCTGTAGCTTGTTAATTGTTCATATTATAAATGGGAGCAATCAGACAGCATCCAGCAGTAGACCACTCATTTTTTATAAACTAGAAATCACACAGAACTCTGGCTTATTGTGATATCCAAACTCAGTTTTGCTTGAATCTCAGTAAGTAGAGGGAAACGGGCCAAACCTCAGGTTTAGGATTCATGACTAAAGTCCTTTGGTTTTTGTTACAATGGTTTGCATACATGTTGGTTCCCCAGTTTTCCAGAATATTCCAGTTATAGCTGAGCCAAATCTTTCAGCCAAATTTTCAGGCCACCTTAAGTGGCTAGAGAAAGAAACTGTCTGTAAAAGTGGGTAGGAAATATTTTGTGAAATTTTCATGGGAATAGCCTTGGCTTGATGTTTATTAAATTTGCCAGTGTGGCTGAAGAATTTTTCTTGCTTTGTAAACTTAAAAGCTTGTAAACTTATTTGCAGGAATGTGAAGTTTCTCTAGAGCCTTCTAGCCTAGCAATAGTTCTTGGAATGCCAGGGGACTATATTATGTTATAATGCAAGATAATTTAATGGATATTCAAGGAAGTGCTGCCAGGAGGGCTGGTACCACTACGAAACAGGAAAAACTCCTTGTCTACCTCACAATATCTGGTATGATAAGCGTGTGCTTCCAAGTCTCTCTCTGACACACGAAACTCATGCATACACTTCAAAGTTTTTCACTAGTGAAAGAAGAAGAATGTCTTTAAAAATTGAGGGATGGGTTTATATTTAATTTAATTTTTGCTTACTTTTATTCTACATAGTGCAAAGGTTTGTCTTCTCAAAGAGCAAAAAAAAAAACAAAACAAAAAAAACCAGATACAGTACTTAATTTTTTTCCCATTACCTGATGAAGTTGGCTGAAATGCAGACTGAGTGTGAGCAGCTGCTGTGCTTGTGCACATGGTTGATCTGGACATAACAGTAATCTATGATATGATCAAACCATGATGTCTTGTGTGCCCCCCTCCCATTTCCTCACTATCAAAAATGCTATCTAAAACTGGCTTGTCTCACTTCTGAAATAATAAGCCATAGTTAGTTGGGATTTACCTTCCAATAAAACAATAGTATACACTGGATTATTATAAGTGATTTTTTTTCTAATAGATCTCAGCAACATGGCAAATATATTTCAACATCTTGTTATTTGTAAACTTGAATTAACCTTAAATTGAACACCAAATAATATCTATTCCTTAAAAAGTGAAGCCTGGAGCCCTGGCAATAATAGGTTTATAGAATTAACTTCATTAAAATACTTTTAATAATATGTGCATTAAAAAGTAACATTGTAACAGTATTAAGAACTAAAATAAGTATTATGTGGCCCTAAGCCTAATTCAGAGCTTTAGCAGGACCAATCTGACCCTTAGTTTGCTGTGTAGGAGAAAAGTGTGAAGAGAGGTGGTAATGAAAAGGGGGTGTTGAAAGAGCAAAGGTGTAGAATGAGGGAGAGAGATTAAGAACCTGGAAATTTTGCTCCAAACAAGTGCAGAAAGGTGTTTGTCTGCCCTGGTGAAAAGAATTCCTGTAAATATTACTATTTATATGAGTGCTCTTATTACTACCTGCAGCAACAACACTGTTCATTTAAATGGGCAAAGCTGACTGTTGTGCAGATGAATTGTCTTCATTGAAATGAATAGGCAGTTTATATCTCCAAATGCATTGTGGAAACTTTACAGTTGGGACAGAAGTAAGATTTTGCACTGCTAACATGGTCTACCTGTGTATTAGTCTGTCCTACAAGGTAAACTGATAGACATAGTCAAGATCATCCAGTTTTGCATCTGCTCAAAACATGATCTTACGTCATCTTTCAAAGGAGATATTTTTAGAATAATCAGACTTCACGGATTTCCCTGACTTTAAATCTTGGATTCCAAAAGTCACATAAGGCAATTCCTTTATAAACAAAAAATAAGCAAATTTAAAAACTGAATAGAATTTGTTTGAGATTCTGATTATTTGTACCTTTTAAGAAACAATGTGGAGAGCTTTGACCACATAATGATTATGCTGTGAGCTAAGTCAAGCTTTATATGTACATGTCAGAATTTATCTTATGGTACTTCAGTGTGCAATGTGTTCATCTGTGGATGAGTTGTGTAACACTTGTATATTACTGCCGCCTTGAATTTTTCTTTTTTCTTTTTTCTTTTTGAAATGGGACTTAAAATGTACAATTACTTCTGAAATGTAACAAAAGGAAAGTGGTCTCTTTAGGAACCTGGATTGGCTTTTAGTTATTTTGCATTTCTCTATACGAGCAACTGCCACTTTGTTTCCATCCTAAACATTTGCCTCCATGGACACAAGAAGAAGGACCTTCAGTGGGATTTGCTTCCAAGTAAACATAGAGATGCAGTAACCCTGTATAATCATGCAGCCCAGATAGGAGGTCAAGCTGTAGTTTCTTTTTTAAAAAAAACATTACAAGGTACTGCAACTGTTCTGTATGAACAAAGAGGTCTGTATGATGGCTAAGGTACTCTGCCAAAAGAGCATGCTGAAAAGCTTTCATCACATGTGCTGCCAATCTCACTTTTAAAAGTCTAGTGTTTGGTGACTACTAGAGATCAAACTAGAAAGAGTGTAATCAATGATCAGTTGCCAGGATATCTCCTATTTTAAGCCCATGCAGCTATGTGACCTTCTGAAGCACTTATTTATAAGTTGAAGCCCTTATGAAGATTTCTATAGCAGGTTTGCTTTAGCAAATGTGTTTAGATACTTGTATTTCTCTCATCTTGAAATCTTTGATAACAAAGGTGTAGCTTCTCTTTTGGAACATTTTAGAAGCGGTATTGAATGTAATTTTAAGAACATGGATTGTGCCTCATTATTTTTTTTAATATAAGCAGCTAAATAGTGCCTTCCCCCCCCCTCACAATCCATGTCAGAGAAGCCACTTGCTCCTCTCTGTTTTTCTTTCTCTGCATATAACTAAGTCAGTTGTGCAATACTGTCCAAATTTTAATCCATTTTGTCACATCTGTTCAAGATAATTGCTTCACTTTTTTTCTTCTTTTGCTGAGAGCTTTCTGTTGTTGAAGTGTTTCAGTTGATTACCTGATGCAAATGATACACAAAATAAAATACCCAATGGGAATGGGAGAGGATAGTCTGGCGTCTTTTTAAAAACCTATCTTGTAAACATTCAAATGGCTGCTGTTTTTGATAATCAAAATGAAAATGCAAGCAGTTGAAAGTCAGAAGAGTAAGTGTTGCAGGGGTGTGCTCTCTTTTATCATAATAACCTTCATTTTTGCCTATATGTCTCAGCTTGCGTTTACCTTCTGTGCCTTGAGAAACCTAAGCATAGAAGGAAGTTGGAGGCTCTCATTGGAGGAAAGGCTTGGGATAATTACAAAACTAGATGGGTTAATGGCTAAATAGTTTAAGGTTGGTTATGGAATGAACACCCAGAAACCGGAATTGATTGGAGGCTATCGAGGCAATGAGGATGGCATATCAGAAATCATTGAGCATCGCCACTAAGGGGTCTTTTCATAGGCAGAGCAGAAGTTGAGGCCAAAGCACTGACACCCCAAAACTTGTCTGAGAGCTGTAGAAATCAACCAGTTTGGGATATAATCTTGGCCTATCTAATCCTGGATTTTCTCCATGGGGATTCTCTCAGCATGTCAGTATAGCTCCTGTCAAGAACCAGTATAGGCTTGAAGAAAACTTTCAGGCCATGGCAGCAGCTGCAGTGCCACATCTTAGCAGGCCATCTTGCATAGTTTTGTGTTCTGGAGAACACCAAGTGTTCAAAGTTCATACCATTTTCACACTGCTGCTTTCTTGCAGTTTTCTATTTTGTGTGAAAAGTTAAATATCTGTTTAATAATAACATTTGAGCATGTAACTTAGCCAGTGTGACCTCTCCATTTGTTACCCAGAAGCTGTAACACATAAATGCAACCTTGTATATGCTCTGTGATCTTAACATTCTTTGCTGCAGCTGTCTTTGAGCTGTGGGACAGTCAGCTGACTCCACTTAAGTGCTTGCTTTGATCTCTTAATGGGATAGTTCCTAAATATTTAGTCATCAGTATTACTTGCTGAGGCAACTGCTGTATGGAGTTTCAGTTCTTTTTAGGACGACCAGATTGTCCAGCTACAAAGACTCTTGAAGGTTAAATCTACTAGCTTGCCAGGAATGGGGGGGGGGGGGAGATGAAAGGAGGTGAGTCTGTCATGTTTCTAAACTAGAGTCCACCCTAAACAATACTGTGTGCTGCATCCACAGGTGCAGGGCTTTCATTCAAATTAATGTGCCTTTCATGCTTCAGAACCGAGCAACAGCAAGCTGGTGAAATAGTACTAGTGCTTCCACCAGAGACACCTTCCACTTCAAATGATAAATGGCACCCCTCAAGTACATACTGCTAAGGAACACAACAGTATCCCGATAATGGAATTCATTAGCAATCTGATAAAAGAAAACATGCATGTTTAATCAGGTTGTCTCATTAATTACCAAAGAAATCTAAAACAGATGCTGTTTAGCCTGAACACCCCCAAATTTGTTGACAGGCCAGCGTATTTCTCCCCCTAGGTCTTTCTGTTTGTGCCTTTTTTTCTGAACACCACAACAGAGCACAGCTTAAGTTTCTCTGCTTCTTTATAAAATATAAGAAGCTGCAAGTGAATCTCAAAGCAATATCCAGATGTTTTCTTCATGTTGAATTCCTCCCTCCTGCTGTGACCTCCTCATGGGTTTCATTACCACATAGCACAGATGTGGTAACTCACAATATGAGCTAATTTAAAAAAACAAATAATACACTTTATTAAAAAATAGACCTTACAAAGAACACCTGTGGGTTCAAAACAAAATCTTCAGGACCTTTCAACTTCTGATAATAACCCACTGTAACCCAATCAAAATAAAGGGGCCAGCAAAGAATTTCCGCCAATTTCTATAAACACAAATTGTTTTAGATAGTGCCCTTTCAAGTTATCTCCACATTTGAGCATTAAAGCTATTTAAATGAATGTGCCTGCACGATAATTCACATAATTTAATTGGAATCTCAGTAAGAGTGAACTCTTGATTTTCTCTTTGTAGTGGATATTCCATACATGAGACTTCCTACCTCAAATTTGTATGGACTACAATACCTCAAGAGCTTGTGTAAAAAGTGGCCTTTTGTCTCATACGCAGGGGTGGAGAATGTGTGCTTCTCCCGCTGTGAGACTAGCCTAGCCCACATAGCAATGGTGAGCCATGATAGAAGTTACAGTCTCTTATTCACTGGACAGTCAGCAGTGATCATTGCTTTGGAAAGGGCATGGAGTTCTGAGGGGCGCTCCTGTGGGGAACAATCCCACTTAAGTGGACGGAGAAAATCCTTTTGAGGACCACATTCTCTCTAGCATAATCTGGCTGGGGCTTCATTTCAGGGGTGGGCAGGACCAAAGCACCACTGGCACTTTCTTTCTCTTTCCCCTCATTCAGTGGACTGGCCGAAATTAATTGGTTATTTGCTGAGGGGTTTTGAAATTAGGTTGAAGGCCAGAGGTTGTTCACCACTAATTTAATGAATATTTCCTGGAGAAAAATCACACGTGTTAGTACTGCAACAATATGATCCACATAGGTGAGAAGCATTCCTGATTTTTTTAAATCCTTGAGAGACCAATCTTTTCCTGGTGCTTCTGTCAATTAAAGATATTTTCCTTGTTGCACTGAAGTATCAATAAAACAATGTTGATTATTACAGAAAAGCTTCAGGATTCAAGACCTATTTCTTGCATAATATCCCAGGACATCGAGAAATGTGTAAGGCCCAGAACTATAGACAAGATTTTATTCATATCAAATAATATCTATAAATTTTTGCTTATAAACACATAACATATTTAGAATAAACACATCGCCGTACTTACAACTCCCTAGCACCCATACCTCAGGCTCTGGAATACATTTCATGATGCCACATTGTGCAACCTTAAAAACCTAAAATGTGAATTACAGGATAAGAAGCAGGCTCCTTATGAATTAGGTTAAAACAATTTGGTGACTGGGAACTTGCCAATTATGATGAAAACACTCATTTACAAAAGTCCCATGAGTTGTAACGGAAAACAATGATGTAAGTCAAGTCTTGATTGGCAGTTAAAATTAACATAGTGTTTATGGCTATTCCTACCAATGTTAATATGAAAGGCTTTTAAAAACATAATGTTTGTGTTATAGAAAATTCTTCTGTCAACTTTAATATTATTGAATCAGGATCTGCAGTCTAAGCCTGTACAACCAGTGGCATACACATGGTGTGAAAACACCATGACTCAACAGGCTTGGATGCTTAGAGCAGCCTGATCTAAATTAATAGACCAGTCAATCACAAATAATTCACATTCTGTTGACTTTAGGGAATCTTCTCTAAGCATGAATAAGTCTGAATTCAACTCAATATTTTGGAGTTTTGTGTTCAGCCTTCCTCAAAAATTGAGCAGTGTTTTTGTCACCTGTGAGATGGGCCAGGCTGCAAGGCAATGCCCTGCTCTAGGCTAGGTGGTGAGTCCGAAGACCATCCAAAGGTTTAAACCTGTAGGCCTAGGATTCTTGCATCAAAGCCCAATGCTCTGAGCCACATGGAAAAACAAAAAATGTAGCTCTGTACTCTATGGACACATTGCACACATATCTATGGGAATCCTATATTTTTAAGGTTTGAGTACAGTGGGGTCTTAAGAACGGCTTGAATTAAGAACATTTTGACTTAAGAACCACTCTCACAGGAAAATATTGACTTGACTGACATACTTAGATTTGAGTTAAGAACTGAAAAAAACCACGTGGGAGGCAGGCAAAGTGCAAAATTTGAACTTTCAGTTAACTGTTGGCCAGTGAAAAGGGGGCCTGTCTGCTTCCTCACTCCTCCCAGCGTTTAGAGAGTGGATTGGAAGACAGTCTGCAGACTGCCTGGTACTGTACGGCCTGGACTGTATTATCTCTGCCTTCCCTGAACCTTTCTTGACCTAAGAAAAAAAGAAACAAAATATCCCCCTCTAGTGGTCGAAGGCGGAATAGCAGCTTCCCATTAGTTTCTATGGACGGAAAAGAGCAGATACGGATCAAATGGTTTTCAATGCATTCCTATGGGAAATGCAGATTTGACCTGAGAACTTTTTGACTTGAGAGCCGCCTTCCAATACGGATTAAGTTCTCAAGTCAAGACCCCACTGTAACTTGCAATGGTTATCTGAGGAGGTGCAATTGGGCACATGATGGATGCTCACCTGAGACATGTCTGGGCAGCTTGTCAATTAGCTTCAACTGCTTCCAGCCTGCTGTTCGAGTCATATGTGAACACCAGTAGGATTCTGGCCATTATTTTGTACAAAGGTCAGGTTCCCATGATGTGAAATGGGCCAGCCACTGGTTTATGGTTTTGGCTGTCAAATCTCAGGGAACAGGAGCCTGCTCATGCAGGAAACTCAAGTACCAGTACCACAAATGTTCTATGAGCGGTAGATGTGCACGTTGTGAATGGTTTAATCAGCTAATTAGTTGACTACAGTTTTAGTCACATTAAATTTACCCCAACCTCTGCATTCCCAGTTAACTGACTGACTTGAAGAGAACCCGCAAACACAATTTAGGGCCCCTGTCCGTGCTTGAGAGCCAGTGTACTGAGGCAGATAGAATGGACTAGAACTAAGGAGGCCTGGGTTCAAACCACTTTGCCATGATAACTCACTGGGTTGTGGCAAGAGTAAAACTCTCCTTGAACATCCCACACACACTCCAAAACCCTATGAGAGTTGCCCTAAGTTGCATGCAACTCGATAGCGCATAATAGACCTTGCTGTTCTTCTAATGATGCAGATGTGTCAACTTTTTAATGCACAGGGGTAATGAAAAAGTGGCTGAGAAATTACTCATTTCTGTATTCCAAACCAAGAAAATGTGTATGTGTCTGTTGGTAATTAGACTAATAGACACCTGAGGCTACTGAAGTAGCACTGAAATTGACAGTGCCCTGTCCTCTGCTTCCCCACCCACCCAAAAAATCCACTTAAAAATGTGTGGGACCCTCCAGTCCAGTTTTCCATCAGGTGTACGAGGCTGCTTTAGGGTGGCAGTAACCTGCAAGAAG